TATATATATATATATATATATATATATATATATATATATAAATATATATATATATATATGCACATGCCGCATGTTCTTGGTAGCGGTCCTTTCCCTGTAAGAGTCAGGTAGCACTTTTGGATGGATACATGACTCAACAGCTGTATTTGTATCGGACGAAATTCTAAGGTCCAATTGGTATTCAAAGTGCTCAGCACAGCTAACTAGTCGGCCAAGTCAGCTGTTCAATTGCATACTGTTCACCTGCATGTTGTTTCACTGAAATCGCGTTTTCCACCACGAAGTAACTTATTGCTATAAACAGTTTTTTTACGGTCCTACCGATGTTAACCAACTCTATCCTATGTGCATGTTTTGTCCACCACTAAAACTAGCGGCCCATTATCATCCTCGTGATAAGTCAAAGAGAAACTGCATTAATCCAGTGATCAACTGCTTCACGAAGCAACTCGTAGATTAGCAGGCAAGCAGAATACAAATTCAATTCGAGATGTCTTCGACGTTTATTTCAGTTTTTCATCGTTTATGTTCTCTTAGTTCCCCAATCTAAGGTACTTGTGGTGCTGATACATTGTCGTTTCTGTGTGGGGTCGAGTCTCTTGTGCCACGTTGGCTTTTGTTGTGAGCATCCTTACCATTGCGTTATGAAGTGCTCCGACCAGCAACTCATCGTTTTTCCTACTCGCATTTTTTTCTCATGTTTCCCCACTGCTCGGTCTCCCTTGAGCACTCACAGGCGTGTTTCTGAGGACAACAAGTTTGACACTGCGGCGCAATACATGCGGCAGCTGTTGGCTCCTTATTTTCCTTCCTCAACAGCGGATTCCGATTGTCCTGTTGTACTCTCACCGACTGGAATCCCGTGCTGCAACTTAACTGATTCGGTTACTGTGTTTTGGCTTCCGATGGATGCGCGAATAGGCCCAGACGAGTTACCCCAATTCGTTCGTCGGTGTTGCACTCCTCGATTAGCTATCTGTCTCCCGTTCGAGGTGGCCATGAAAGTGGTCAGTTTTGATGATGATTGGTAAATCAGGAAACTATCAGAGTTATTAGTCATAATCTGTTGCGTTATGATGTCGACCGCTTGAGTCGCGAATTTCGAGCCTCTGAGTGAAAGGTTCACTGTCGCATGCGATTGCAATACCGATAGCTACCGCTTGCCTAGGCCACAGACAGCAGATTTAGTTGATCAGTGATACATTTCTGCGGTCGGAAATGACGTTTAATTCACTCAACCCTTCATTAAGGCTTGTTTTCAGTTGGATTTTTGTTCGTCGGGATATTTCCTGAGGATTTTTCTCCCAGTTATTCAAGGTTATTCGTTTCACACCGTGGAGCATCCAAAATCCGCCGTCTCACTATCGCTGTGTCTTCTGACGTTTGATTGTAATAGCCATTAATTTCACAGCAGTGAAAGTGGCCTTAGTTTCCTTTTCCCTCTGTTGTATTACTAGAAGAACATTTTGTGCGCACGTGTTCTAATTTTGCTTTCTTTGAATATATTGTCACCTTGTATTCTAACTGTGGAATGATGTCATCCATCATAATTGTAATTGGAATAAGTGAAATGAAAGAGCAGTGCATAAGCAGTTCACTTCATATCACTAGCTTCGAACATTGTCACCAGTTTAGTGTTAAACGACCTCAATGTTTCACACCGCGATCTACGTTGCTCTGCTAGTCTAATTCCCAGGCCCTGTGCTGATGAACAATAAGTCACTCTTAGTTGTACCATTTTTCACTTTTGTATATATATGGGTTCATACTTGGAATACACAAAATGCACCACCGAAGCTTCAGATGCGCTCCGTTTTCCAACCTGCGCGTAAAATCACCTGTCAGCACTAATATCAGAGCTGCGTCTCAACCGTATCAGTTCGGCCAGTTTATCGTAAAATTGGTTCTTTTGTGGAGCTTGACTGCAGTCGGTGGGTGTATACGCGGAAATGATGAATAAACACTTTCTGGTGTTGCTATCCTTCCGAACATCTTTTGCAGTCGCAGTTTGCAGTACTTGTAACACCCTTTCCTTCCACGTCGTTTGTGCACCAACTATTGAATCTCTCAAGCGGAGACTCGTTGAAACCTAGATATACCTCACATTTCCACACCATTAAAGCAAACACAAATTCATTGAAGCCTACATCATAATCTCCTTCCTGGAACTCTATGTGATGTTATTCGCTGTTAAAGGATTCAGTTGTGTAAATATCCCACGGAGACACGAGAAGCATGAGCTTTCAAGTAATTCCCATAATAAACCTTGGAGTTTGACCCCCACCCTATCGCGCCAGTTCAACGGTGAACCGAGTCAAACACTGAGAACAAGGAACAAAAACGATCGGTGGAAAAGAACACACATGAGCAAACGAATAAAAGCAAAACACTGCCACTTCACAAGCACTGATGATGTCACCTCGGCGGTTGATGAAATAATTGCAAACAAATTGGTAAGCTCGAGGAAGGCCCTTGTATTGGCAAGGGTTGGAATTTATAGAGTGTTCACCCTGGTTTCCCGTCACCGGAGGGCGTGTGACAGGCCGGTTTCTCTTCGATGTCGGACATCAGTTATATCCTCCAAAAAGCGTCACCTAACGTGTGGAATATATAACGTCCAGTTTCATGCTGGAGACAGTGGTAGATCTAACGCGTACCGACGATATTACGTAGCTCGACGACAGTACACAACCGGTATGAAAAACTCGCAATATCTTGATTGGGTTTGTTATTGTAATAACTTCTATAGGCATAAAGCCCTATTTTCATTTAAAAATATTCAAATTGATAGAGGGAGAAAGAAAATTCACCTGCTAAAACTGTCAAATCCTGTCATTTTTCAACTAAAATACGTGCTAACGAGGGTACCGTAGACGGTTTATTTTCGTTCGAGAGAGAACACAACGGTATAAGTTGACGGATGAGAACAACAGGAATATAAATCTGTGTAGCGGATATCTGGAGTCGATTAGAATCCAATGTGCAAACGTTTCACATGCATTTAAATGACTTTCACACAGGTTAGTTACCAATTCCTCCGGGTTGGTTGTCAGTCCACATGGAAACAGTTTAAAATGTTTCTTTATGAAATTCGAAAAAAGGAGATTAGTAAGGTAAAACGGGGAAAACGATGATATACGAATTTGGAAATAATTGATTTTGAATATGAAACTGTCGAAGTTTACGGATATGAAAAGAAAGTCGTCGAAGCTTACGGACGATATGTTGCATGTGGAAGGTCCAGTGAAAATTAGCATCGATAAACCCATCAGGTATTTAATACAGCTTACCCAGGATACTGCTTTAGAGCCTAACGATACCGGTTCAAATGTGAAAGAAGTCCGTGGTACTGTGAAGTGACATTGGAGAAATTTAGAGGGATTATAAGAGATCGTATGTGGCGGAAAATTGTTGAATGTTTTCCAAGTTTTCAGGTAATTGTGATAGACCAGAAGAATCGCAGATAGCTTGACATAATACCACATTATCAGCGTATTTGAAGAGAGAAGCAGGCGCACTAGCAGACAAATCACTAATATACGTGGGAAATAAGTAAGGGGAAAGGACTGCACCTTGAAATAGCCCAGTATTGTTAACCAACGGTTTGGATTTCTTTCGATCTAACCTGGTACATTGAGTTCTCCCGGAGAAGTAACCGGCAAGCCAAGCTAATAACTGTCTAGGACAACCAAAGGTCTCCAGCTTACTAAGAAGAAGAAAACGGGGAATAGAATCAAAAGCAGATGAGTAGTCGAGAAACAACAAACAGATTTAACAGAGTCACTTGAGGATTTGTCTGTTTTATGTACAAGTGAGGAAACTTTATCTAGCGTGCATCTCTTTGGTTTATAGACAAACTGAATGAGATCATGCGGGACATCAGGTGAGAACTGAATACGCGTAGGAACAACATATCCTGTAGGTTAAGTCCAACAGAAGTTAAAACGATAAGACAAGCGTTTGGTTAGAAAGTTTGAAGTGGAGCATTTGGGAATGGGAACAACTTGCTGGTTTCTAACAGTCTAGCATGGAGCATGTTTTTAAGGAAGTGTATACAAATGATGCGCCCTGAGAATGAAACAACTAAATGAACCGCTTAAGAATCTATTTTCTTTCATGGGACACATGTATTGAATGGACAGCTGGGTAAAATCTGTGCTGCCTAGAGTGCACTGAGGTGATCGCTTGTCTGTCGGAATGTATGGAGGATGCTCAAGGCTCACTTGACAGACTAACAAGTTCTGTCAAGCCATTTGATATGCGCTTTTCGCCTTCCAAGTGCAAGTCTGCCGATCAGACGGTGAGTAGTATTGTCATTCTTTCAACTTTGATCATTTGGGGTGGTTTGGTCTTTTGAATATCGTGATAAAATATGTCCGTGTAACTGGAATTTTGTAAACTGTATGAGTTGCGGATCACTGCGATGTTTTCTGTTTATAATTTGGTCGTTGGAACTCTCCAGATCACCGAGATGTTACGACTGTCTTCTGTACCCAAATATAAGGTCCCGGGTTGTTCAACTTCAATGCATATTGAAAAATCACTCGCTCTATACGTGTTGAAATCACTCAGTCTACGCTTTGAACACAGTTATTGTCGCTTGGGATCTGATGAAGATGGTTTTACAGTTGTTCCTGTCAAAACTATTTTTTCGTCTTCGAATAATATATCTACCCTCCACTTTTTGGTGCACCAAGGGTTTCAGAATCTTTCTTATCGCTTACTTTGTCAGTACAAAGTTGCCAATGTCCACATAATGATAGCTTGCCGACTTGACTAGAAGTGGCTGTAGTCACAGTCGATTGGTTGTCCAACGTGCTGCACTGAATGCTTCGGTTTGCACTACGTTGCACTTTTTGATTTCTGGAGTACAGATGGGTCACAGACCCTCGATGAGTGATGAGAAAAACAGCTGTTTCCTCATGGTGGCTCCTTATATTGTTCGCAAATCACTGCTGTTTACAAATTACAATTTACCTTTAAGTGGCGGAGGTATTTTCTCACTAAAGTGAGAGAATAAACCGGCTATAGCCGCGTTGGTGAATCACTTGTTGTGTATCTAGATGGGTTGGTTGAAAACTGATTCAAATACCCACGAATTACACCCACACATTCCTAGTTGTGGCTATTGTCATTGTTTTGATTGGGAGTCTACGTACACTGAACACCTTGGATGACCGATCTCGAACAAAGAGCGTATGATCAAATATGCCGAAATACCGGCAACTATGAAATGCAACCTTACCACACGGCCCTGCTGAGCTGCGTTCAGGTGTTGGGTAGTTGAAAACTCCTGAAATATTTCACTGGTTTGACCTGAGCAATCTGGCAAGAAAATTTTGAACTGATTCCTGTTCCATAAATCTTGCTATATTATGATTTGTATGACACCCAAGACTCAGACACGTGCATAACACACGAGCAACACGATGGCCTCATGTGTTACTCGCAAAACCTACTTGTTTCAAAATCACCCTTTTCAACGAGTGTGCATATGCTCGATATGTGTTTATTTATGCGGAAAGGTGATCATTCAGGAACAGATGCGTGTCCAGTAGCCATTAATATTTTCCTTTACCTCCAACCTCAGATTCTGAGTCCTAGCTACGTGTAACATTTCAGGCGCTCACGTGGACTGAATGCGGTCCCACATAGACAAACTACATGAACTGGGACAGGCCTGCCTGACCCAAGGCAAATACCTCAATATGTTTTTTTGTTGTTGCAGCTCCCGACATTTCATCACATCGTGTTCTTTTACACGTTTTTGATAAAATGATTTCAGAATAATAGGAATATGTCCGTGACACTGTTTTTTTAGGTCCTTTGTGCACCGAGAGTGAGGAGGAGTTATATCGGGAAGGATGTGCTCCATGTCAGAAAGAAAGTAGAAAATGAAAGCGTTCTGTCAATATTTTATTACTGGGAAATAAGCGTTCATTGACTGAATCAGACATTTAGGCCATTAGGTGAGAACTGAATTCTGACATTTGTGTTCTATTGTTTCGTTGCCTTGATGTGATAAACCCATGCAGTTCTTCGGTCAAGAGTGAATGGAGATTCTGGGTCGTATAACTGACGGTCTTCTGAGGCGCTGAAAGTGCAAAAAAGGGAAAACAAAAGTTTTCATGAAATGCGTGCACGCAGGAAGGAGAAACGTTTGATGATAAAGACGTCGCTGTTCACTTTGCTTTCAAAGTTCATGTACTGTCGAGCTTTAGCAGATGGGATTTCTTCAGTAACTTTATCTCTATAGCTATACGCACGATATGAATAGAACACGTCTACGGAAAGCAGAAAAAAGTCCAATATAGTAGCAGTGTTTATCGATGAATGCCATGAACCGCGGTTCTAAAATCATACGGTAATGGTCAAACAGAAAAACTTACAGCCATGTGAGCAACCAAATTACAGGGCAGCAATAACAGTCGGTGACAGTAATGATAGGAACAAGGTCTACTCGGCAGACAACTAAGCGTAACAGAACCGCAGCACTGAAATTCAAATTGAAAGAGGTTGCGGTACGGTATGGAAAAAGTTTAATAATACACTTTCGTTCCGGAATGAAACGAGATGGAATGAAATTACAATAGATTTAGATGAATTGTAGTAAATGCAAGCAAATTGGAATGCGATAGCACAAGGTGGTGNTAATCAAAATTGTGTATGAAAGGGCAGTGTTGACATGAGAAATAAACAAGCCCGTGAAAATTGTGTGTTGTGTAGGGGTATCGTGTGCGTAGATGGGTGCTGTGGTCTACGGGTTTTTACTGAAACTGAAAGGAAAAGGCAGCTTGGTACAAAAGATTGGTTGAGTTTGGAAATATGTTCTTCGGGATTGGAGTTCACCCTTGCACACTGAGAGGAGAAAAATGCAAAATGGGGTAAAATCAATGAAGCAAGCAAGAACACAAATCCAAGGAAACTTGAGTCTGTGGATGTTAGGATTTGGAACTTTACGGAGTGAGAGGGTAAATAAATTGCTTCAAAATAGAACGCGTAAAGAATTCGGGTTGCTATCCAGAAAATAATTCCAAAATTTTAATACAATGAAACGGGCTGCGATGCCTTTCATGGCCGGAGAATCACAAGAACATGTTCCGAATCGTGAGTTAATTTCAGTACAGCCTCTGTTAAAACACCACAAGTATCGTTGGGGAGTGTTAATTTTATAATTTGAATCCTCACTAGTTGAGAGTGCTGTTGGGGCATGCGTATCAATAAATTTTTGACTGGTTGCCTTTCGGAATTCGCCTTCAGATGGTCGGATGGTAAGGTCGTCAGCATAGCCACCCAAAAGGCATGAGTTCGAACCCCCTCCCCACCGACGTTCATCTTCCCATTTTTGTATTTCCCTAGGTAGCCTGTGTATGGCCGCAGTCCCCTTTTCAAAATTTTGTTGTATATTTCTATAATCAAGATCACGGAGGAAGAAGAAGAGTTTTTTATTTATTTACATGCTTACCGTAAATTGTGCTCTCCTATGTACACCGATGAAGCATAAGAATCGAGCTTTACCCATACAAGAGGTGATTACGTGCCGATCAATTCTGGTTAAGAGGTTATCATCTTCGGTTGAATAGAGGGAGTTCGGTTGAACTTAACAATACCTCTATGGTGTCTTCGTTTAAAGTTAACACAATTGAGAGACGAAGTTGGACGCACGCATTGTTTTCAACCGCTTTTTTACGCCAATGCGGCTGTTAAGACAGTTCACACGAGACACTTTGATTGAGATTTCTTGGGGTTACAAAACTGTGAGTAAAACGTTCTGAGGATTGGTTCACGAAAAGCTCCTGATCCAATGATCAGATCGAGGTAAAAAAAGAGCCACATTAGCCAGTTGGTCAGCGTCTACTACAAAAGTGATAATCAACTTACTCTATTCTTTGCGTTGACCGAGTAGCTCACTGAACGACTCCGGGCTCGCATGCTTCGTCTTGGAGTCCACAGAGTTAATCCCTTTTCAGATCTTCGAGTCTGTTTACAAAGAAAGGAATAGGGCGAAAATGAAATAAACGGCTTAAATAATATAAACATACATATATGTAACGTTTTCAGTTTCAGGATTTACAACCACTGCCCATGCAATTTCGTGCTCCAGACTTGCCTGCTAACTTTAGGCTGTCCATTTGGATAAATGAGCAGACCGAAGATTGGACTGGTGAAAGCAGAGTCAAAGAAAATATAGGGAATTAATAACAACTCGGGTTGCAAGAACAATGAGAAGATGCACGAACGCCACCGATTAGGACACTCAGCCATATCACTCAACGTCTCTGATCACCGTTACCATGATCTCGAGGTTCAACCCAGGGAGCCTAACGCGATCTATATGACCGAGTCTCTTGGTCAAGTTTCTAATACCTTCATGCCACGTCTTTGTTTGATCAAGCTTGTTTTTTTACATATGCCACCTACCTCGGCAAACATCGCGCACCATGGCAACCTATTCAGTGACGTGCGAACCGCATGTCCCAACCGTGGTCTATTACGGTCGACCAGCTACTGCAGGAAGCGAATGAGAAAACCTACAACTCTAACTCTAACCTCAGAATTGCGTGTCTGATTTCCCCACCAGACTCGTGCAATACAATAGTGTTCGAACATCAACAGTCTATCTTCACCCTGTTTTCTTAATGGTCAGATATGTGCGCTGGATAACAGAACTGGCCGACCTGTCGCAGCAACAGTCTACCCTTCACGGACAGCAGGATATCACGACGGCGTCACAGATATCTGAAGTTGGCAAATGCCAATCCGGCATGCTTTATGCGAGCTGACACTTCATCTGTGATGCGTCAGCGTGTGAGGTGTAGCAGCCCAGATAGCACCGTTTGTCTACTTCATTTTCTCCAGTAGGAGTCAGGTTGGGAGTTGGAACAACCCAGTCCTGTAGTAACATTTGCACTTTGAAGATACAGAGCGTATACACTAGCACTCAAGCTATCTACAAAAGCTTGCAATGTACCTTAATCATCGGGCATTGACCGTTTGTGCTCCTTGACTGCATTCTACGATTGCACATTATCTGATCATAAAAGGTATGTTTTTAATAATAAAATGACGATAATAACAACAATAATATTAAAAAATGATAAATTGTTAAAGTAACAACAGTACTAATGAAGTAAATGGTATCAAAAATAAAGAATGAAATGATTACCAAAGGTTAATATGTATTACATGTTCATTATTCGGTAAAATATCACCTAGAAATGTCTGATAAGAAAAATTAAACCATAATCTGTGCTGGAACTCATCCAAATGGTCCCAAAAATGTAACTATATGGCTTGATGTGCTTGTTGTATTTGCAGTGTGGCAAAAAACAACGAGTTCTGCTTCGCTGGTGGGTCAGATCAGGTTAGGTCACAGGACTTGTGGATTGAGCTAATTTGGCTTTAGTTTCTTGCACTGTGAGCCAGACATCTGACTGCGCTACAACACGTACACGTGCATCATGCACCCATACATAGATAACTTTTCTTTGGAAATCGGTTCTAGATTCTCTTACTACACAATGCGATCAAAATTCTCAATTCGGTTAATTATTTTGTGCAACTCAGAACGACCAGTGACAAAATAAAACAAGGCACCTACAATCGACATTTATATAACACGTAGATATATCAATATGTTGTTTAATATGACAGACAATTAACCAAAATAATTTAGAAACAGGTTGCATCTGAACGATGATATTTCTTTTCAGGGAATGAAAGGTGTTAACGAAGAAAATAAAAAGAATTACTTTTGTTGAGATTGTGAAAGGTTCAATGACCTCGGTTGGATTTGAACGCACACATGGACGCTGCCTACGCTTTGCACAGCGCACGCTCTACCAACTGAGCTACCAGGCCGCACTGATTGCATTGATCTTTTCACATTCGAATCACCCTTTCAACTTACAGAGGCATACAGCATCCACCAGTTAAATGTAAGCCGACTACCACGATAGGTTTTCCTTAGAAGTCCACCGAATGAACTTCTAAGGCAAGGTTAATTGTTCACATTGTCGTTTGGCAGGTTCAAGTCTTATGTTGAGAGCTGAGATACGAGGCCACACCGATAGCATTGATCTTTTCACTAAATTTTGTCAGGTAAGCGGAAACGGTTAGGAATATGAAGGTTGTACCACGGTTCATACTGGATGAACTAGTTAAACTTTCAGTCCGTGTGTGAGACTATAAAAACGGCAAAGGAACCTGCTAATCTTATGGGAATCAACCGTGAAAGTAATCGATCTGGTGGCTTATAGTCATTCAGAATGCAGGATCATTGTGATTGATACGAGTCAAATGTTATGATTATTGGAACAATAAATCAATGGTTTGTAAAACAATCTTTGAAGAGGTGGCACTTCTATGAAGGTTAGATGTTTGCAGAGTTTGACTATATATCTCCGCTTGGATCTTGATACCTGAACATCACTCTTACGAAAATATAGGAAGAATCACTTTCATTCACCCATCAGAATAATGTAAATCAAGGATAGATTCAACTTACATAAGCATTAACGGCTCGTAACTTATTGTCAGATTGATCTAGTTCTAGTGAGCTGACAGAATCCAATGAAACGCTTAACTGATGAAACAGTGCGCTGGCCGGTGTTGACGTGCGTCGCAAAATTTGTCCCTGAGAATGATAAAACATTACATTGTGTGTAGTTAAAAATGACGGAAACTTGTAATACAAAACTCCAAGATTTGATGAATCGCATTTCGGAAACAAAATTTAACAACGTTTGATACAAAGAAGTTCAGTTTGGCTTGAAACGTCCAAGACCATATACAGTGACCGGTGCCTTTACAAATTCAGTGATGTAATCCAAACACGTAAATTCACACAGTACTACGACGAGAGTGTGTTGGTCGTTAAGCTTATGGCTTAAGGGTAGGTGGTACGACTTACGACCCGAAAGTTCTTTGTTTGAATACCGGCACCGAATTTGGTCTTTGTTGACCAATCACGACAAGAACAAACCGGTAGTTTAGTGCTTTCTTCGGATATCAGGGAAAATTAGATCGAAAATTGAAATACATTTATTATGTATTGAGTAGATGAACTAACAACTACCTATGGATAGGTGCTTTTAAACACGGAGTGATACTAGTACCTTTCCGTCAAAATGCTACTATTCACCAATATTACATAATATGTGTATTGCTTGGCAAACCTCTCCTGGTGACGCAACCGGTTATCACCTTTCATCACGTGTTTACATCTGGAACTTTTTCAAGTGACAAATGTACATGTATCATCTATGTCCGTCAATTAACCCGAGAAGATAAGTCAAATCTACCCTTAGATGTAACACAACAAGCGCTTGCGCAGACTTACCCCATACGGCGGGGTTGAACTAGTTTTGATCGATAATTCCATTTCCTGTGTTGTCTTTCGCATAATCATGGTCCAATTCATTTTGCGCAGTGCTTGGATCGCTCTGCCCAAGTAAACAAATTGCTTCGGTCGGAGAAATAACTGATAGATGAGAATAATTGCTGCCTGTATAAAAATAACGAAAATCCAACGATGCATGTAGTCATGGTGAAATGATCACAAAAAGTCATAAGATCTACTTTGGCTTAGATTGATAGATCGAGATTTAATTCGTCTGTGTTCTCGTTAGGCAAGCTCCACGCCATATGTGTAGCATCATCTCCGTGACCACAAAGTGATGGAGGAACAGGTCAGAATCTCAGAGGTATTACTGAATATAAGATGCAAGTGATTATAGAGCGTTTTAGATGGTCAATGTTTGAAGTCACAACCCAAATGTTCGCGGTTCGAGTCCTGACGCACTGCTGACCAACCCCAAACAGGACGAAACAGTTCTCCAGTGCTCTTTGTCGGTTATCACAAACATTTACACCGTATTTAAATGATTATAGAACAGTTTGGAAACAGTAGAATTAGTTAAACTGATATACTTGGGCTATTAAGATGGGTCTCGGGGATACTGATGCACCACACCATTATGGTTAAAACATCTTGGATTTATCATTTCAGTAGTGTGGCTATTTGAACGACAATATTGCACCTCATTGTCTTCGCGTGTTTTATCGTTCTAATAATGTAGCACATCCCACCCAGAAGAACATTGCGACATAATTTCACATCGTACTGCTTCTTTTAATTCCTACTTCGTATTAAATGTTTTAATGTAACTCTCGAAACGCATACGACTGACACTTTATATCACTCGATTATACAAACGCATTTCGACATGCATATTTTAAAGACTCTTAAGGACAGCGTAAACACATCGCTCAATACGCTTACATCTCAGACTTGCTTGCTTGCAAACTTTGGTTGTACGTTATTATCATGTTATATATGATTAATCATGTATTTTAGAACCGTGTCTCACGAATCTTAGTTGTTGATTCTGCATCTTGTATCCGTTGGGACGCGAAGTAAACCAAGTAACGAATCGGACTTAGAAAGACAACTCACAGCTAAGCCGACAGGAACTCTGTAGGAGATATTTGGAAGAAGTCGATTAAGGGCGCCCGATTATTTGCTACAGTGGGTATGAATTATGTCCTTGATTTCTTGCACGGTCGTAACACAACCAGGTGGTCCAAGTCGAACCAAGTGATTCTCTCCAGTGCATGTAGCCAGATACCCCGGCTGGATCCATAAGGTGGAGGGTCATTATGGTTTTGGGTCCTTGTTTAAAGTCGGGTGGATCTGAAGACAACGCACACGTCTTAGCTGCCTAGATCACAGTATCACGCAATTATCCCAGCCACTTAAATAACCGTGGCTACTGATCAACCGGGATGTTTATTTTACATGCATTTAACAAATTCGACATACACTCAGGAAAACATTAAGCAAGACTTTTGGTTCCACAAACTTTCACATTTTTTCAAGTGAGATTCTAAGTCACTATTTTCATTATTTTTCGGAAACCGAACAGCATTCGGTCTACAAATCTCGGTAGACCTGATCGTCAGTCGCCCCCCAGAGAAGCTTTTTTACTACGCTGTCTAACTGAACAAAGTTTACATGAAAAGTTTTACTGTGAAAGATAAAATACAAAAAATGTAGCATTGGCATGTGTTGACATTATATCTAATTACGGAAATTTGTTTATATCTTCACTCATGTTTGAAAATTCTGAAATATCGCTATCTCTTCTTGTGGAGTTAATAGCGTATTTCGTCCTGGAAATTCCTGTGGTGTACGTACAAAATTCTTTGCCTGAACCAACAGCTCGCTGTCCATCCTGAATTGCGTGAAACTGTTGTGAATAAATGTAATTATGGAATTGGAATACCATGGGGAACTGTTTGGGATTTCGTGATGCATGACAGAAGCAAAGGAAAGGGAGGACTACTGGAGTTGTATGAAGAGGATACTAAACGCAGTGTGTGCGCTTATCCCACGATTGGTCCTGAACACGGATAACTTTTCAAACAGATTCATCCCGGCATTATGGCCACCAACCCCAGGCACACATTTTGGATTTTACGGAAGTTGCATTCTCCAGAACGTTCATTTTATAACGCATAAAGTCACTTACCTGTGTAATGATTAAATGAAACCACACTTCATACTGCCAGTGTGGATGCAATCTGGGAGCTTTCGAAGTGGTCAGAATTGACCAAGCAACAACACCGGGGATATTGGTCAGTGCGGATCCCAAGACTTCGTCCATATTCAGATGTGGTCGAAATATCACATATAGAGCTAATAGAATCAAGCCGAATGCATTGAGCATTGTGAACGGGATGCACATGGGCAACGATATGGTCCTCGGAAAACAGCTAAAACCGATCAAAGTGTTCGAGCGTTTGTGTGCATGTTGTTCGTTCACGGTGAGCAAGTTTCGAGGGTTTGTATTTCGGAAAATACAGGTGAGTAAAAAAAATTAGTGAGATGAATGGTTAACCTTGAGATAAAACGTAAAACAAAATGTTGACTGTGGTTTCAGTTGCAAACTCTTTAACATCGGAATGTGAGCATAATTCTAGTGCTCAGTTAGTAGCCTAATTTATTGTTCATCTCACTGATGAGATGAAGCCTTAGTCCTCACTCACTACCTGGGCATGAGGATCAGCTGGATGGTTCGTTTCTTATGTTCCAAATTCCCGCTTTGGGTTGCTCGCTTCGCGCTGTAGCGCTCAATCTATGCACATCGAGAAAAATCAAGCTAGACTCCTAATTGCGTTGTTATCAATTGAAATATTGAAGCATTTTCTTCAGGAAGGTCAGACTTCAAGAAAAAGCCGTGGAGAAAGGGAGAAACGTTGTAGAGTGAGTAAGCCTCCGGACCAGGATAACTGGACAAACGCAGTGTGCGTGTATTCGACCGGGCTGTTCGACATTTCTGATCGGTCAGTATAGACGCACAGTTCAAAACGTAAAGTAGGCCATAAAATGGTCTTGTTTTCAAACCTTAATCAACGCAGTTTAACTGCCTAACATAATGCCCTGCGCTTATTATGTCTGATATCTCTGTTCGAGATGGGAAACGGAGGTGAATTGAAGGGTGACTTGAATTCGTAAGGAGCCAATTGTCATTTGTTCGGATGTTATATGACGTGTCACTTCTCTGCAATCCGGTCATGGGAGCTGGAAAGCTTACACAAATTGCTTTTGAGCACACAAGGGGGAATGTGGTGACGGATGTTGACTGCCTCCGCTGTAGCTAGGATACGGAAACGTGAGTGCAGAGGTCGAAACGCTTCGGTCACTTATACCGTGTGATTAGTGTCAACAAGGTGCGACACAACGGCGCGTGTGACGGACTTAATTCCTCCAAGCAGGGTGATACTTACGGATACGCTCGGACAAACGTCTGGTCGTGCGGCCTGCGTACTCTGCTTCACAGGAGGAAGCGAAAAAGCAAACACAGAGAGAGGCAGCAGAATCGGACGCAGTGACACTAACGGGTTAGATGGAAATTGGGTCTGCAGCTGGGCTACGTATAACGTTTTATTGATGGCATCTGATAGGCTTCTATGCACAACCTCTGCTAAGGCGTCACCTTTAAATGATAAAGAGACGTACAAGGACGTTTCCTCAGCAATGACCCTCTAGGGGAATGCCTCATGTCTTTAAATCATAGGTTACACCATCCGCTCCGGGTATCCATTCTGGATGATGATATTCTGCATATCTCGTAGTTCATCAAACAGCATGTCCTCTGGACAGGTTGTTCTCGCTCTGTTGGCCAAACAGAGTATGAGATTCTTCTTTCTGCTGAGTGATATAAAGCTACGGAAATGAATATACTACCCATTCCATATCACCTTTCTGTGGACTAACCGTTCGATCGACACATCGTCACGACAAGTTAGACAACCATCCAGATATGCTAGGTCATTGTTTGCTCTATTTTCAATGGTGAATTTCAAATTGTGGTATGCAGCATTGAAGTGATCTAATGGATGCCGATCATCCGTTTTTGAATCAACCATGCATACAATGTCATGCACATAACGTGTTTACGGTGTACACATGTTATTTAAGCGGACCGCATTCTATTTTAAACATGGAATCATTGGTAAACAATGAACCCCACGGAAACGCCATTGCTACACCGTCTTTCTGGAGATAGATTGTTTTCCTTATTTCACACATTTGTGAGGTGAACAGCAGACGGGATGAACCCGATGGTCACGAAGACCAGCTGCTCCGTCATGGAAAGCGGTAACCAAAGCCCCGGGACTTGAAGTGGCGAACCACAAAAGGCTCCGCTCGGTTAGGTGTGGTATTGAACCGCACGACACCAAATCTCCGCCAGATCTTCTCGTTAAACTTTAGTTACACATTGTGAGTGCACAAGCGTGACAGTCGTTTCACGTCATCGGTCTGCAGGCCTACAACAATCCCGTTACTTTCGATATAACCACGTCAATATATATATATATATATATACGCCGAGAAGTGACACATAATGTAACATCCGAACAAGTTATCCTCCGTTTTCCAAGAGACATCAGACAGAATAAACACAGGATATTATGCTGTGCTTGCTACAACTTTCGAAATCTAACGCTTTTCGATTTTTCATCCAGTCTGTGCTTAAAAGAATCAATTAGGGGCACAGAAACAACGTGGGGTGGTAGAGAATTCCAAAAACTGCATACGCTGAGGGCAACTGAATGATGTCAGCATTCTCTTTGTCATTTTTGGAGCACTAATTTGAATGACCACCCCCTGAGGTGAGTGTTGGGCCACAAGACGAACAGTGAACGACATTGATGATCGAATTCGGTGATATTGTGTGGAATACAACCGCAACGATTCCAGTCTTTCCACATAAGTCTTGAAATGCATTTCCTTGACCATTCTGGTGGTAAAGTGAACATTTCAGTAGCTTACGACCGCGTTGCAGCCTTGGATTCCACGCTTGAATGGCATACTTCATGTGGAATCGAATGTAGGTTGATAACAACCATGGGAACAGCATATGTTCAAATTTTCCAAACACTCGATTTAGCAAACCAACATGTTTTGCAGCGATGGACGACATCTTGGAGCAGTTCAAAGAACAACTTAAGTGGTCTTGAACAACGAAAACCTGATCCTGCTCATTCAAGGCATATAGGATTTTTATATTTCTGGATAGAATTAGAAAGTGACCCAGAAAACCGAACTGCTACGGTGCGTTGTCGATGAAATTCTTCTATCCAACACAGTACAGGTCCCCGAATTCCATAGCATTTTAGTTTCCTCAGCAATATTTTGCGATTCACTCAGTCCAATTCTTTGAATAATTCGAGGTACACAAGTTCCAAAGCTAAAACGTATTTTTCCAAATGACTCATCACATTGCCTGTAATAATGAATTCCATGACTTTGAATAATACGGGGAAGAGAGTAACGGGGCGGTTATTCAGCTCGGTCACTATGACAGCCACCTTTGTATATTGGTGAAATAATTCCTTGTTTCCATGTTTGTTGGAGCACAGTTTTGTCGAACATACGTTGGAGTGGTTCACTCAATTGTTGAGCTGTGTTACTTCTCAGGTCGATAAGGGTTTTTGGATGGATGTTAGCCATCCCCGGAGATGAATTTCATTCCAAACACAACAGTTTCGATGATATGATTTCTGGCGGAAAAACCAATTGTGGTTAGAGTTGGCTATGGTATGTCCTCGAGTAACAGAGACAGTCGTAGTCCGCTTTTGGCAGGTACAGTGAACACTTGAGCGTACTGACTTCTTAACATTTCAGCTGCCTCCTTTGTTGTGACTGAGACACGTCCTGACAATCCTAGCGCTGGAACGCCGGACTTGATTTTTGTGGAGACATTTAGGTGCTTGCACAACAGCTTAGGATCGGATATAAACTTGTGCTGCAGCATTTCTTGGTACATCTACTTGTTTTCTCGCGTCAACTTGGTGCAGTGCTTTTCAATTAGACAGTAGGTATACAAGGAAATCGTTTATAAGCTCTCCATGAGGTTTTCCTCTGCGAACTGAATTCTTTGTTCGACTTCGAATCACTGATTTTTGACCATTTGAGTAGGTAATGTGTTAGGTCTTGGTCACGCCGTTCAGCATCTCCGTTAGGTGATTTGTACATTCTTGCCAGGATTCCAAGGGAAAATTCCACTGGAAGGCTCTCGCCAAAATCTTAAGTTTGGTGTAGTTAACAAACACAGTTTCAAAGTTCCATCACGATGAGATTGCACCTTGACGTGGTGTGATGGCTTGCGCACCTCTCTGACCCAACGAACTACACAGGATTACCTTTTTCATATCGCAGATCTAATCATGCCTGAAAGGACGAAGGGTAGAGGTCGGACGAAGTTCAGTCTCCTGGTCCTCCAAGTTGGGGGTTCGGCTTGAGTTTGCGTTTCAATTGGTAAAAAATGGTGGAGGAGTAATCGATCCAAGTAAATGGGCCTCCACCTCACTTCATCCGCTGCCTTGCGGCTAGGTTCTTGTCAGAACTAAAGTCTTTAGTTGAGAACCCAAATTGTTCTCCTGCCTAGTGGCTGGACACCCTAGCAGTACCCGTCCATCAAATCCAAATGCATATGCATCGCGAGTTTGGCAGCGATCAGTGAAGTTCGCTGCCCTGTATTTCGCTGTAAGATGATGTTGATGATGATCAAAGTTTTATCATGGAAATAACTTACATGCTCAAGCTTTTCTCGTCCCACAGGTTCGTGTTGTGGTTAAATTTCAGTGTTGCATACAAGTACGCGCGTAAAAGTCTCACATGATACGGGCTTCTCACACTATTGCACGCAGCTTCACTTATGTTGGAATGTAAGGCGTGCTAATGCTTCATCAAGTCTCAGTTTGAAAGATTCAACGCTTGGCGCACAAACGACATGGGGTGGGAGAGAGTTCCAGACCGAACATACTCCGACTGCGAATGACTGGCGCCAACATTCCAATCGGCATTGTGAGACGACTAGTTTGAATGGATGTATTCTGAGATGAACGTTGGATGATCATTTTATCAGCGGGCGACACGAATGGCTTGGGTTTTGCATTATTTGGTGTACCATAATCATGCGCCGGTAGTGATTGGAATATAACCCCAAAGACTCCAGCCTCTCTGCGTATGAATAGCGATTGAACACCTTAACCATTTTGGTGGCCATCATTCGTGGACACTCCAGCATTTTTCAATTTCTTTTTTCTCTTTTTTCCTTTGATTTTCCTTCCTTTTATCGAATATATAAAGATACAATCTTCAGGAAGGGGGAAGCGGTCAATCGAAGAGCCGCCATTCAACACACAATTGAAGAAGTCA